TATTGATTAAAAACTACCTCAGTCACCCGAGTAATTGGGGCTTGGGGGGGGTCTAGGGTCGTTTGCATAATAATGGTAGCTCATAATTGTTCCAAGACCATCAGAACTGGTCATTATCATCCAGCCCATAATTAGCGTTTTATCTTACGATTTAAAGCTCCTTTTCTCCTTTGCGTTAGTCAGCTTTATGAATGCTCTTATTTGATTGGCTGACTGAGTGGTTGATTGATGGATGGATTGATTGATTGGCTAAGTGGTTGATTGGTTGACTGACTGAATGTTTGATTGGTTGATTAACTGACTATTCCCTTGAGATAATTTTTCCGGCATTTTAAGGTCTGTGAATGAAGTAGAGGGAGGAAGAAAAGAGGGAGAAGAGAAGAGGAAGGAAGGGGTAGGAAGGAGACATGGGGGAGGAAGAAAGGAGAGAGGAAGGAAAGGGTAGGAATTAGGCATGAGGATGGAAGGAATGAAGGAAGGAGAAGTAAGGAGACAAGGGAAAGTAAAGTAGGAATATATCACAGAGGATTAAGTCTCAAACTTAATCGAGAAAACCAGGCGAAGAAGAGAGAAAGTACAGTGAAAAGAGAAAATAACTTTCTCTTCTCCAGTAAAGATAAAAGAAAGCACATTGACTAGAAGGTGAAAGTTCTACCTCTCTTGAGACCGTTCGCTATCCCAGACTTACGACAGTTAGGCGAGAAAGTAACGCGATAAAAAGAAAACTATTAAAACTTGTATTTTTCTTGGCCTTATTTTTCATCGAGAAAAATATAACGTAAAAATATAGAAACTTTCTTCCTAAGGACTTTCTCCCCTTCATTAGAGACTACAGTAGATAGAGTAAGTGAAATATAAATTAGAAAGTACACCAACATAAAATACAACTTTTATACTTTCCATTATAGCTGAAAAAAGAAAGCAATAGAGAAGAAAGAAAACTGAAAGAAAAAATAAATTTGATGGAAGAAAGAAAATTGGTGGAAGAAAGAAAATTTATAATACAAAGCTCCACTCCTGAAAGCCCTAACTAAGCAATGTTTTCAATTAAGCTTGTTTGTGTAGCCGAGTTATAAAACATTGCTCGTATTATCGGTTCCCGTCTGTCAATCAGTAGCCATCTGTGAATCAATAGACTCTCCTGGCACCAGCTGCGGCCTTTCCCAGCTGGTCTCACGGCCCAGTGCCAACCCTTATAACGCTGGCACTCTCTCGGGATCACCAGCCGATGGGTTAAGGGTGGTCTTGTTGGTTAAAGCGGAGATGTGTTTGGGGGGGGGGGGCGAGTGAGGTTAAAGGTGCCAGATGGGTTTAAAGGTGCCAGATGGATTAAGAGTGCCATATGGGTTAAGGGTGCCAAAGGGTTAAGAATGCCAGGCAGGTTAAAGGTGCCATATGGGTTAAGAGTGCTAGGTGGGTTCAGGATGCCAGATGGGTTAAGAGTGTCAGGCGGATTAAGAGTGCCAGACGGGTTAAGTTCGCCGAATTGGGTTAAACGTGCCATATTGGTTAAAGGTGACAGACGGGTTAGGGTGCCAGGCGGGTTAAAGGTGCCGGGCGAATTAAGGGTGCTGAATGTTTAGTTATTATAAGCTCACATTGTTTCTGGTAACGCTGGTGTTTATATAATTATATTGGAACAAACGCACAATATTTTCATTATAATAAACAGTAAAGAATATTCTGAGTTATCTTTATAGTTATCATCTTAGGCGACCTTTGGTATAATATCACGAGAAAGAAAAACTCCAAGACGATAAAAAACACCAGATAATTATTTGAAAATTTAATCGAGACATTTCAAGAACAATGCCATTATAATCGATAGCGTTGAGAAATCTTTTATTTTGTGATGAAATAATCCCAGGCAGTGGACCCATCTCTCGTCTGACCTACATGTATAGGTCAGTGTGATACAAGGGTAGTTTGCCATTTCAACCAACAGCAAACTGTACTCTAGTGGTTTATATTTTTCATTCAAGAATACTGTATTTGAGAGAGAGAGAGAGAGAGAGAGAGAGAGAGAGAGAGAGAGATGATGGAGAAACAGTCGAGTAGTGTGAATGGAAAAGACAAACTATGATAATTTTTGTATACAAAGAAAATATTTGAGGAGATCCAGGTTTTGAAGCAATCAGTTAGTGAATGTTCTTGTTTTTTTTATCTTCTACAGTGGGATTTCAGTGATATATATAAACACACACACTGTAGATACAAATGTAATTAGATTTGAGTTGTGGGAGTTTTTGTATACCTGTAGAGATGTGTATATAAGGGTGTGTGTACATATCTCTATAGGTATACTTGTCTGTGTACGTGTGAAAATGTATGTACGACTCTGTGTATAATATAAATAAACAGAAAGCGCGAATACCAGCTGTACGCAATCATTAATTTCAGGGGAGGAGTGAGAGAAGCCCTCACTCTTAAAGGCGCAGGTCGGGTTTTAGAATTGGGTTCAATTATGACAAGATTGTACCTTCTTTGAGGGCAGCGTCCCCAACACCTCGTCCACGACTCAAAGGAACGGAGGGAGACAGAATTCCAAACTCATTATGGAGCTAAAAAAAAAAAAATTCCCCCACAGACCGTGTTGAATGGGAGAACTGATTTGAGGTGAACTGTTGAGCAGATCAGGAAATATCTATGGTGCTTTCATACACCTCTTGGTATTCATCTTATAATTTGAGATATTTATATTTTATTTATATTTAGATCATTTGTCGTCCTTTGATAATTTATTCCCTTTGGTTGTCCCTACTTATTGGATATATTCTTCCCATCTTCGTTATTTTATTCACGTCAATTATTTCGTCGTGTAAATAGGGCAGTCAGTGTATTGTATATATCCCACTATATTTATGACTAATAACGAGAGAAAGGAAATAATTGTCAAGGAATTATACTTGACATATCTATTAATATAGCAACTGACAGAGGTACAGGAGTCTGACGGTCAAAATGATGAGTTAAGCGTCAAGGTTAAGTTACAGTTTTGTAAAGGGTACGAATTGTCTCCCTACTCTTGTGTAGTGTAGAGCTTCACTTGGCGCTCTGTATGTTGTGCTAGGTTTTGTCTGCTACCCTCCCCCAGTCCCCGCCTCCTCTCTCTCTCTGTCTCCGTTTCTAATTATGATTCGCTCTTCACTTCTTTTTCCCTTCTGTATTTATCATATTCCAAGAACCATGATGGCAGGTCCTTCTCCACGCTCCGTGATGGCAGGTCCTGCTCCGTGATGGCAGGTCCTGCTCCGTGATGGCAGGTCCTGCTCCGTGATGACAGGTCCTCCTCCACGCTCCGTGATGGCAGGTCCTCCTCCACGCTCCGTGATGGCAGGTCCTTCTCCACGCTGTGATGGCAGGTCCTTCTCCACGCCCGTGATGGCAGGTAATGCCCGTGATGGCAGGTCCTGCCCGTGATACAGGTCCTCCTCCACGCTCCCGTGATGACAGGTCCTCCTCCACGCCCGTGATGGCAGGTCCTCCTCCACGCCCGTGATGGCAGGTCCTTCTCCACGCTCCGTGATGGCAGGTCCTTCTCCACGGTGATGGCAGGTCCTTCTCCACGCTCCGTGATGGCAGGTCCTTCTCCACGCCGTGATGGCAGGTCCTTTCCACGCCCGTGATGGCAGGTCCTCTTCCACGCCCGTGATGGCAGGTCCTCCTCCACGCTCCACACTCCGTGATGGCAGGTCCTTCCACGCTCCGTGATGGCAGGTCCTCCTCCACGCTCCGTGATGGCAGGTCCTGCCCGTGATCCGGTCCTCCTCCACGCCTCCCGTGATGCCAGGTCCTCCTCCACGCCCATGATGGCAGGTCCTCCTCCACGCCTCCGTGATGGCAGGTCCTCTCCACGCTCCGTGGTAGGTCCTCCTCACGCCCGTGATGGCAGGTCCTCCTCCACGCTCCGTGATGGCAGGTCCTCCACGCTCTCCTCCCTCCACGCTCCGTGATGCAGGGTCCTCCACGCTCCGTGATGGCAGGTCCCTCCACGCCTGGGGCAGGTCCTCCTCCACATCCCGCCCAGACGCTCACAGGTCCTCCTCCACGCCCGTGATGGCTCCTCCGGCGTGTGATGGCAGGTCCTCCTCGCACGTGATGGTGGTCCTCCTCCACGCCCGTGATGGCAGGTCCTCCTCCACGCCCGTGATGGCAGGTCCTCCACGCTCCGTGATGGCAGGTCCTCCATGATGGCAGGTCCTCCTCCACGCCCGTGATGGCAGGTCCTCCTCCACGCCCGTGATGGCAGGTCCTCCTCCACACTCCGTGGCAGGTCCTCCACGCCTGTGCTGGCAGGTCCTCCACGCCCGTGATCGCAGGTCCTCTCCACGCTCCGTGATGGCAGGTCCTCCTCCACGCTCGTGATGGCAGGTCCTCCTCCTCCACGCCCGTGATGGCAGGTCCTGCTCCGTGATGACGGCCCCAGGTCCTCCTCCACGCCCGTGATGGCAGGTCCTCCTCCACGCCCGTGATGGCAGGTCATCCTCCCGTGAGCCTCCATGATGGCAGGTCCTCCTCCACGCTCCGTGATGGCAGGTCCTCCTCCACGCTCCGTGATGGCAGGTCCTCCACGCTCCAGGTCCCTCCTCCACGCTGATAGCAGGTCCTCCTCCACGCTCCCTGGCAGGTCCTCTCCAGCAGGTCCTCCTCCACGCTCAGTGATGCAGGTCCTCCTCCACGCTCCCGTGATGGCAGGTCCTCCTCCACGCCCGTGATGGCAGGTCCTGCTCCGTGATGGCAGGCCTCCACGCTCCGTGATGGCAGGTCCTGCTCCGTGATGGCAGGTCCTCCTCCACGATCCGTGATGGCAGGTCCTCCACGCTCCGTGATCGCAGGTCCTCCTCCACGCTCCGTGCTGGCAGGTCCTCCACGCCCGTGCTGGCAGGTCCTCCTCCACGCCTCCAGTGATGGCAGGTCCGGCAGGGCCCGTCGGCTCCTCCACGCTCAGTGATGGCAGGTCCTCCTCCACGCCCCGTGTCGGCAGGTCCTCCTCCACGCTCATGGCAGGTCCTCTCCACGCTGTGCTGGCAGGTCCTCCTCCACGCTCAGTGATGGCAGGTCCTCCTCCACGCCCGTGTCGGCAGGTCCTCCTCCACGCCCAGTGTTGGCAGGTCCTCCACGCCCGTGCTGGCAGGTCCTCCTCCACGCTCAGTGCTGGCAGGTCCTCCTCCACGCCCGTGTCGGCAGGTCCTCCTCCACGCTCCGTGTCGGCAGGTCCTCCTCCACGCTCAGTGATGGCAGGTCCTCCTCCACGCTCCGTGTCGGCAGGTCCTCCTCCACGCTCAGTGGCAGGTCCTCCTCCACGCCCGTGTGGCAGGTCCTCCTCCACGCTCAGTGATGCAGGTCCTCCACGCTCCGTGGTGGCAGGTCCTTGGCAGGTCCTCCTCCACGCCCAGTGATGGCAGGTCCTCCTCCACGCCCAGGCAGGTCCTCCACGCTCAGTGTGGCATCCTCCTCCACGCAATCCTCCTCCACGCCCGTGGTGGCAGGTCCTCCACGCTCAGTGATGGCAGGTCCTCCACGCCTGTGTCGGCAGGTCCTCCTCCACGCTCAGTGATAGCAGGTCCTCCTCCACGCTCAGTGCTGGCAGGTCCTCCTCCACGCTCAGTGATGGCAGGTCCTCCTCCACGCTCCGTGGTGGCAGGTCCCAAGAGCCCCGTACCGTAATTGATTTCGTGAGGGTTGGGGCTACGATGTAATATATGGCCGTGGAATGTGGCGCGGATAAATTATAATTAATGGCGATATATTAGACAGTAAAGACAGGAGCGTTGTGGGACACACACACACACACACACACACACACACGGTAGGTAGTACTTCTTCCCCCTGTCTCCTTCTTACATTTCAGAGTGACGACTGTGATTATTGGTCCACTTATGATGCTTTATTGAGTGTCTTATGAGTCGCGCTTTGCTCTCTCTCTCTCTCCACCGTTTTTATTGCGAGTTGTCGGTTATCTCTCTTCAATTCACTATCAGTGTTCTTTTGTGCGACACTCATTATCCGCCCATCCTTTACACTGCCTCGTCACATACTTTTACATTGTCAGACATGTCACGCTACCAAGGCTACATGTCACAGTACACCACCTTGACACTTGTTCTTATACTGTCAGACATGTCACACTACCAGGACTACAAGTCAGTCACGTCACTTTTGCTCTTGTTCGTTCGTATGGCATGTCACTCTGCCTCTATACTTCGTGGTCGTCCATTTCCCTCTGTGTAAGTCCCAACCCCAAGCATGTCAACGTGTCATTAACTTTTTTTTATCTTCGACCTGTCATATTGCTTTAAGACTCGTCCCTATACTTGTGTTGCCGTTACTACAGCACACACACACACGCACACACACACTTACTTTTCCGTTCGAACTTCGTGTTGGGTTGACATTGAGTCCTTTATCTAGTGTATGCGTGTTGGGTTGACATTCCCGGCTAATACCTGCAGTGCGTGTGTGAGGGACATTTGTGTCTCATACCCGCATGTGTGTGTGTGTGTGTGTGTGTGTGTGTGTTTACCATCCCCACCCGTGTTTTTATTCCTTCCTGTTGGCCACTATCACCCACACACTCGTTATCACCCCACTCCCGTCTACCTGACACTTATAGTTATGTCTCCCCTCTACCCTGGGGACATTTACACACTGGTTTACGTACGATTTTCTTTTATTTTCCCCAGTTTACTCTTTTACATTTTCTTCTATTTTACAGGTTATCTTTCGTTCGTTTATGTTCTAGTTAAAGAGGGGGCATATAGGTATGCCTGTATGCCTATATCTACACTTTTCAGTTAGTTTTAATCGGATTGACTTCAACTTTGACAGATAGTCTGACTTACGTGTGTTATTGTTTCAGACACACACACACACACACACACACACACACACACACACATACATTTGAACTTTGGTGAGTCAGGAGAATGTTAAAATTTATATCGCACTGATGAAAAAAAAAATGATGAATTACTCTGATGAAGACAAAGAGAAATACTAATAATTTCTAGAATAATTAAACAAGATACATTAGGGACGTATATTTAGGGATGAGGGGACGATGGTAAAATTATTAATAGACAAAATTGAAAGTAAGAGGGCCAGGGGAAGGCAGAGACAGGGATAAATGATTGAAATTAAATGTGTTCTCCAGAAAGATGCAGAATCTGTTGGGTTTGGAAATGGCAACCGAGAGTGCGTGGCCGTGTTCACCTACCCTTAACAATGAGGACGCCACTTATACTGACTGGTGTATGATAGTATGATTGTATACTTAAATATATATGGCTGGTGATTGTGGTACATGTATTATATGTAACTGCCTATTGTTATGTTTGAGTCTTGTGTGTCATGGGACTCTAAACCTGTAGTGGCATATGTCATAATTACAGTGTTATGTCATGTGACGGTATAATTACAGTGTAGTGTCATGTGACGGTATAATTACAGTGTAGTGTCATGTGACGGTATAATTACAGTGTAGTGTCATGTGACGTTACAATTAGTGTAGTTTCATGTCACTACTCCATGTTGGGTTTCATGCGGTACTATGTTTGGTGTCATGTGGTGCGTGATGCTGTTTTGAAGGTGTCACTAGTCTCATGAAAGTAATCTGTTGGCTACTGTGAGTTTGACTGACGATAGAGTGACCGATTGGCAACTGTGGCTGACGCTAATTTGCTAAACTCCTCACCTACCCACCCACTCACCCACCCACCACACCATTAGAACTACATGAACACAACACAGCAGTCTGTACTATAGGAATACCGCAGCACTAGTATCAACACATCCACAGTATCAACAAAGTACCACAGCATTAACACGGCACCACAGCAGTAACACACCACCGCAGAATTATCGCAGCACCACAGCATTATCACAGCACCACATCATTATCACAGCACCACAGCATTTTCACAGTACCACATCATTATCGCAGCACCACAGCATTATCACAGCACCACATCATTATCACAGCACCACAGCATTTTCACAGTACCATCGTAATATCAACACAGCACCACCAAAGTATCAACACAGCTTCAGCATAATATCAGCACAGCATTAAAGCTTTAGCATCATAACATCAACATAACAATACCGCACCACCACAGAAACACCACAGCTTCACAGCACCACAACATCGCCTCTCAGGACGTGATCAGCTGTCACCGCTGCCAGAAACTTGTGGGTCGCGGCCACAAGTTTGAATGGAACTTGGTATTGGGAAATACTTGGGGAGTTCTTTCCAAATGTCGAATTCCTAAACACAAAGTCACTGGGCCGGGAGTCACACCAAACAGGTGGTAGACTCACAACAATATTCTCCAGTTCGTGGGAGTATTTTATGGCTCTTGGTATACGTCCAGGACCCTGAACCCTCAACCTAACCTGACCCAAGCTAACCAAACCTAACCTAACCTACCTGACCTAACGTAAACCAAATCCATCTGTTTTGTAGGTAAATTGATGGTCTGTTGCAGGATATTTAACTTGTCTCGTGTTTTTCCATTGTATTTACGTATGTTAGTTGTTCCTGGGTGTTTGAACAACATAATGTTACAAAGACAACTTGACACGCTTTCCATAAAGTTAATTTTTGCCGTAACACAAACCTAAGCCTGTGAAGTCTGGCTGAAAAGGCAGGAGGTGGGGTTGAAAATGTTAGAGATATGGTCAAACGTGCAGGAGATATGGTCGAACTTTAGGAGATACGATCTAAATTGGAAGAAATATGCTCGAAAATGTAGGAGATATGGTCTTAAATATAGGGTATACGTCAAGGAGATATGGTCGATTATGTATAGATATGGTCGAACATGTAAGAGATATGGTCGAAATGTAGGAGGTCTGGTTGAAAATGTTTGATATATAGTTGAAAATGTCAATGAAAAGGTCTTAAAATGTCCATGATTAGGTCAGAAATTTCAAAATATTATCCCAAATCTCGAAAATATGGCTAAACATGTAGGCAATATGGTGTAAAATGTAGGAAGTATAGTCTAATAGGGTGAAAATAAGTACCAAGGAGACGTTGTATTTTCAATAATGTAGGGTTTTTTTTCTTCAAGATGATGTTTAAAAATGTCGAAGATATCCTGGTTAAATGTTGTGTCCTACGTTGGGAAGAAGTTAGCAAAGACGTGGATATGTGTCGAGTCAAGTCGATTTTTTTTTAGTGTTCGAGTATAGTGATGAAGTAAGTGTGTGTGTGCGTGCGTGCGTGTGCGTGCGTGCGTGCGTGCGTGCGTGCGTGCGTGCGTGTGCGCGTGCGTGCGTGCGTGTGTGTGTGCGTGCGTGCGTGCGTGCGTGCGTGCGTGCGTGTGTGTGTGTGTGTGTGTGTGTGTGTGTGTGTGTGTGTGTGTGTGTGTGTGTGGTTGTATATGTACCTGTGTGGTTGCATATGTACGTGTGTGGTTGCATATGTACCTGTGTATAGGTGGAGGCAGCATATGCTTCTCACTTAAACACATAGCCTGGGTAAAGGTAGGTTAGATGCAGAAGTCTACGGAGCCGTAAACCCACATTTCACTTAGTCAAACCTCAGTTCAGAAACATAATTTTTCTTGATGGCATTTTAGTGTGTGTGTGTGTGTGTGTGTGTGTAGTGTGTACTGGTAAATCTCAAATCTCGTATCACCTCCCTGCTGCCCTGACTTTTAACAGTAATGGACAAATACGAGGCAGGCGCCTCAGGTGCTCACTGCATTAATGACGGAATTAAATGATTATCTCTTGGAATGCCAGCGACATATTGTTCAAAATAAAAGACTCGCAAACTTCATGACCTAGATACCTAACCTAACCTAACCTAACCTACCTTCATAGTTTTTAAGCTAATCGTATTCTCCCTCTCTCGTCGTGTTGGTTCCCTAAAGAATCGACAAAAAGAAAGCCCAACAAAATCCAGACAGAAAACTTTACAAAAAGTCTCGAAAAAATAATAAACTGAATATAAATAAATTCATACTACAAATGAAAAAATTCTGTCGGTACCCAGAGACATAATTATATAATCCTAAAACATTCAGATACATAATTCTGTATTTCGTGATAATAAAAATCAAATCAAATATTAGAAAATATCCAAACACTAACATTATAAAAATCCTATAATGGAAAAAAAAATCCCATAATACAGAGAAAAATCCTCCAATCCCGTAATACAGACAAATAAATGAAATACATCACAGACTCGAATTATTTCCACCGTGAATTTAATTCCTTCATCCCTGCCCCTCCTTCGCCCTCACTCTCCCTCCCCATCCTCCTTCCTTCCCCTCTCTCTCCCCTTCCCCCTCCCCCTTTTTTTTTCCCGTCCCCCCTCCTCACCTTTTCCCGACCCCACCCCCCTCCCCTTCCTCCCCCGCGCCCTTCCTACCGTTCCCCCTCTCGC